TTTTTTTGGTTTTTCTCCGGTACCGGGAACTGAACTCACGACCTTGCGCTTGCCAGGCAGGCGCTTTGCCGCTGAGCTAAATCCCCAGCCCCTCACACCTTTTCTTGACAGTAGATTAGTGGTCAGGACTTGTCTCATCTGTAGTTAAGTCTAGAACATTTTGGTTCAGCATATCTATGGTCAAAATGGATTATAAATTACCCAAATCAGCATTGTTTGCATCAGAAAGTTAGTTTATTAATCTACAAGAAAAATATCTCTTCCTGGTATATTAGCATTTAAGGAAGCTAAGATTTGGAAATTATTGGTGCCTGTTTATTTACTTTTTTATTTGTACATGTTTGTGATACATAATGAATACATTCATCTTGAGGAGTTGGTAGATATATGTATCACCACTTAATCCTTTTTGTGTCCCTTTCTCCCTTCTTTCCCACTGTACTTCTTTTATTTCTCTCTTTCTTTCTTTCTTCCTTTCTTTTCAGTTGTTGGAGACAGGGTCTCACTATATAGTTAGGCTGGCATTGAACTCTCTATGTAGCCTAGCTTGCCTCAAACTCACAGCAATCTTCCTGACTCAGCCTTCCAGTGCTGGCATCACAGGCATGGACCACCACATCCAGCACTCCCTTCCTTTCTAGATCCCTTCCTATTTATAAAAGATCTATCTCCCTGTTTTCCATTGTCCTTTATTTTGCTCTTTAAATCATTTATACTTTGGGTTTCTCATAGAAGAGAAACCAAGTGATATTTAATATTGTGTCTGATTTATTTCAGTTAATTTTGTGTTCTCAAGGTGTATCCATTTTCCTACAAATGACTGAAACTTACCCATTTTATGACAGAGTAGTACTCCATTATGTATACATATCACATTTTCTCTATCCATTCATCTACTGATGGACCTATAGGCTACTTCCAAGATTTAGCTATTATGAATTGTGTTTCTATAAGCATGGTATGCATAGATTACTATCATATGATATCTTTACTCTTTTGCAAGTTACCTAGAAAGGGAATAGATGGTCAAATAGAATTTCTAATTTTAATGCTTTGAGGAATGTCCATATTGATTTCCATAGTGGTTGTACTAGTTTACATTCCCACCAACAATGTAGCAGGGTTCTCCCCACCACACAGCCTCTCCAGCATTTGTTATTATTTGATTTCTTGGTGATAGCCATTCTTTCTGGTGTAAGATGGAGTCTCAGTATTGTTTTAATTTGCATTTCTGTAATGCCTAGAGATGTTGAACATTTTTTTCATGTATTTGTAGATCATTTATACTTCTTCTGAGAAGTGTCTATTCATTTTAATTATCCATTTTTTGATTGGGCCATCATTTTGGAGGGGTCTAATCTTTTGAGCTTTTATATATATATTCTAGATATTAGTCCTCCTTCAGAGGAATATCTGGTAATTTTTTTTCATTCTGCAGATTGTATCTTCACTCTATTGGCCATTTCCTTTGCTGTACAGAGCTTTTAAATTTAATATAGTCCCACTTGTTGATTCTTCATGTTATTTCTTGTGCAGTTGACATTCTGTTTGGAGAGCATTCTTACTTGTACCTATGTCTTCAAGAGTTTTACTGGTGTGTATTTATTAATTTATCATTAATAGAGAAAATGTTTGTAGCATGCTATATACTAGATACTGTTTTAGGAACAAAATAAATGTGTATCTACCTCTCAGGAGCTCATAGTCTACTAGCAGAGAAAAACACATCAACAAATACTTACAGTATAGTTTAGTAGTACTGTAACTTCAGTCAACTACTACTACTACTAATCAGTCAACTCTGCTAGGCCTCAAGGGAAATATACTTTTATATATATAATTGTAGATATGTACAAAGTTCTATGGAAACACAGAGGAAATAGTCTGGGCAGATGTACTTTTTATGGTATTGGCTTTGAAGCTTTGGCTACAGCTCCCAGTATACCCACTTTTTTAATTGTGCTGGGTCACATATGAGTATTTGAAATTATTCTGCCTGCATATTTTTATATCTGGGCTCCACCTTAGCTGCTGCTTGGTCTTCTGGTCATCTGAGAAATTGTATTTATTAATAGGGTGAAGATTTTAGGATCCTCTAACTATGCTTTCTGAATTTGAGAAAAGAGGGGTCAAAATCAGGATTCTCAAAGACAGAGCCAAAGAGGCACCCATACAGTAGTTCTAGTTGTACAGCACCTTCATTCTTCCTGCCTGCCACATTGGAGGTCTGATTAACCCTTAACTTTTATCATTTAACCCTTAACTTGTATCATTACTTCTTCAGGAGTGAAATTATAGAGAACTTGAAATCCCTGAGGCTAACTCCTTAAACTTTGAAAATCTGATAAAAACTATTGACTTTTTTTCCAGAAAGTGGCAGTTTTATATTTCTCACACTTTCTAAAAGCCCATCAAGGAATTTCATATTAAAAAATCTTGATCTAAAGGTTAAACTGGTGGTTTTCAACCTTTTTAGTGTGTGACAGAACACCCATAGACATAATGTTTGTACACCACTGAAATAAATTAAGGGGAATTTGGAGACAGTTACGTGGAGCTTGGTGAAAAATTCTGTTTTCCTTATATCAGATACTTTTAATGGGAAAATAAAGTAAATGTATTAAGGATGATATTAAATATTGAGTTTATATAAGTTTCCAAATAAAGGCTTCTCAAGAATTTGATGAAAAGCTGAGATTCTTTTTGTAAACATAACATTTTTATATAGGGTTTTATGATTGAAATCACTAGATACAATTCCCAAGCAAGACAATTAAACAGTAATGTTT